CTTGGGTTCCAGTTAGTGTAATAGATCATAGCTTGGAATTTGAAATCGGAGAGTAAGGTTGTAATTCCAGCCGAGTTCTTTATATTCACTTAGGCGCAAATACCCTTGGGAATGGGGTATGAATCCACGTCTTCCCACTGAGCGATGGGTTAATTAGTACGACTTCTATCCATACATTATTATTATCTCTACCCCCACTCAAAAATCTTTTTAAATCTAAACATATTTTATAAATACACACGGTCAGATGAATGAATTGTCGTCTGAATTACGAAAAAATGAAAATAACTCTGATATCTCGTTTTAACAGATATATTTAACAAAATTACACAAACATATCTTGAAATACTAAAGAGTAAATTTGTTCAATAAACTGGCTATTGGCTTCAACTACGGCCTCCAGACGACCTCAGAATCTCCTGAAACTCTTCCTTGTTTAAATTGGTGAATGCTGCCATAATCCTTGCGTTAAGTTCATCTTTGGTGTTACAAGGAGTTTTGTTGGTCTTTTGCTTTGCCCGCCCCCACATAATAATCAAGGTACGTGCAGTCTAATTGGCCAGATGCAGGGGATAATGTTATCGTAGAAATTGTCTGACAGCCATAGTGGCTTCTTCTGCTTGTGTGGTATGGTTCAGAGTCCTGTTGCCAGGCATAGGCTCTTCCAGCAACCACCCTCTTGACCCAGAGCAATACTATCTCCTCAAGGCACTTGATGTAGGCCTCCGTGTTGAGGTCGCGTGGGAACATGAGTGGAGACATAATGTCGACATCACTAGTGATGACACCAAACACCTTTGTAATCACCATTAGACTCATCTAACTCATTTCGAATTCTCTGCACTCTCCTCAGATTGATACCCAAACACTATGAAATGTTCGTATTGGAGCTTCCGGCACAAATGCCAACTAGTACAACATACCACGTCATGGTGCTTTTTTTTCTTACAGACGGTGCTCAACTGAAACTATTATATTGTGCAGTCGACAAAATCAAAAATAAACAACACGCATGCGCGAAATAAAAATATAAAATTGCAATTTACCTATCGCACTCTCTCTCTCTCTATATATATATATATATATATATATATATATATGCAATGATAGTAGATACGTTCACTTATCGCCCGGTTCACATATCACCCTGGTCTTTTGAAAAGGAGTACAGATTTATCCATTGTTTCCTGTTTAGGATTGGATTCTTCATTACTTTTAAAGTTTTCCTCATTCTCATTCACTCTCTATTGCCTCTTACGTCTTACTGGCATTATCACATTGCTTGAGGTGCATTGATTATATACATATATCTTATATATAAAGTACAGTGCATGTCCGTGTGTTTGTGCCTGTGTGTGTCCAAGCAACTCCTCTGCTCCCTCTGGTCCGATTTCAATGATTCATAGCCTATTCAAAATCCCTAGAAAAGTTAGGCGCAGGGAACGATTTTCGTTGAGATCACATTCCGTGTTGCCAGATTATACGAGGTTAAAATATATATTAATATATTATACTAGCCATTATCGTTGCTTTCATGTTTCAAGGGTGTTGGGTGGCATTTAAGTTAGCTCCTGTGGAGGACTCTTAGTTTGGCCATCATTTCAATAGCTAGGGAGGAGTAGATGCGATAGGCATTAATAAGAAGAACTAAAAATTGACTCCTGCGTTGAATTAATGTTTCAGCTTACATTTTAAAAGTTCAGTGACAATTCTTCTGCTGCCTCTTTATTTAAAGGCGATTTGATGTAAGTAGATCCTTATTTTCCGTACAAACAATTACTTTTATTTCATGGGTGACAGAATTAATAAGATAAAATTAATATAATGTAAAGATGGGAAAATAGAATTTATAATTCGCTATACATTCAACATTTGAAGAGACAGAGAAAGATAATAGTTAATGAAGTAAAACCTGTATTATGGAATCTATATGAATAAATTCTTGCATGAATACTGAGATTAAGAAGCTCCAGTGCTACTTTATAGAAATTTACACGCGGTGTTTACTTGACCCCCACCCCACGAGGTCAGGTTGTGACACAAGGTCGGTTTAATGTGAGGAGCCCGAGCGTGTGCACCCGGGCAAGGAACAAAAATTCCCCGTCGGTTGCGCTGGCCTCGGTGCGAGCACCGATCTCTCCCTTTGGTGCAAAGGCAGGGCGCGGCCTCGGGCAGCTGTTCCCCAGGGCTGGGCACCTCTTCAGTATAATTTTCTTCAGTTGCGACTCTGTCCTTTCAAGGAGTCGCTCCTGAGCGCACTCTGTTCAAGGACAGAGACGCAACTGAGAGATGATAAAGAAACGCGTTAGAAATTCCTCCAAAGAGGGGTTTACACACTGCACGCTCAATATCTCGATTATATATTTTCTGCTGCGAGGCGCGATCACTCAGGTTTAATTAATTTGTATATTGATTTAAAAAATTTATTTCATTGATGTCCTTCATTACTGTTCTTTTATTCGAGGATGGTTTTGATTTTCATATAAAAAAAATTGTTCTGTTTAGGAATATCGTCTTATATATTGCCGTGACACTATTTAGCGGTCGCGTGAAAATGAAAAGCGAGAAATAATTAAAGCGAGTAGAGTCCATTTTGTGGTTCGCTCTTAAGAGCTGTTTTATAATTTATAGGCAAATGGACGACCAAAACCTTATAAAGCTGATGGTGATAATTATTTTGTACATCAGTATTTATATCTATATAAAGCAATTATTATACAATAGGGCAGGATGATTTTTCATTTTCTTTAAAACAATCAACATTGCACTTAGTGTAAATTCTTGTGTTTGATGTAATAAGAACTGCCACCAAAAATTAGGTTCACAGCTTTTACCAATTTTTGGGCATTTAGTTTTAAAGATCGACTGAAAAATGTACAGAAATAGCTAATTTCCACAGGTTTTTTGCTTATAAACTGACGTTAAAATTGTACTATTTCTAGAATAAATCCAAATAAATTTTATATTTTTTTGTATGAGATGCAGTGAATAGAAAATATATTCAAATTAAAATTCTAATTATGAATCACTGCAAGCGAAATATTCAATTTTTTACTTTATTCGATAAGTAAAATCTGCGTAAAGAAATTGTACAAGATAACAAAAAAGCTTCTCATTAAATAATATTTGTTAGATCATTAATTAGATAATAATTAATAAAAACAAAAATAGATAAAAGTATATATAACGCCATAATGCTGATTGGCACACATTATAAGACAAAATGTTTTAAATGTACATTGTTTATTAAAATCACAAACTACTGCACTATATATTACATAATATAGCTAAATTGTTTAGTATAATTTCACTTTGAAGCAAATGAAGTTCTTATTTGATGACAAAATGATTTAATAACAATGTGCATCTTGCCCATATAAAATTTTAAATCTTCAGTAAAGGATAAATGTTATAAGGCTGTGCTTTAAGTCTTTCACTGGTCACCGGAATTAAATTTCGATGTTACATATTTTGAACCTAAATTTAATCTTTAAACTAATTTCCTCAAAGAACGGTAAGGATTTGGAAAACAGTATTTTGGGTAATTATTTACCATGTTAAACCGCAACTTTTAAATTCAGTGCAATACCAAGGTTCCAAAATCGATCGGTCCTACTGTCCCACAGCAAATAATTCAAAAACTAGAATACATAAATATTTGACGACATATACCCACAAAATTATACATGAGCCAACATTGTTCAAAATAACTTTAAGGAATTGCCAAAGTTTTGTCAATACGAAGGAAATATTTCTAATTTCTTCAAATATCGGAATAATATTATCAAGCAAGACTATCAAGACACAACGTATATAATTACGTACCTATCATAAGGAACATAATTTGAAACTAATGCTTTCTTTGGTGTCTTTCATTTTACGTACATATCTGGTTTCCAATACGGATTTCGGACAAAGCCCTGTTGATCCTGTAGCCTTCAGTAGATTCGGCTCAGTCGTAGAAAACTAAACAGAATTATTTCTGATCGAGGGTCAAAAGGTTATCGGTTTGTTTGCTTTCATTGACCACTTTAAAGTGACCATCTGTCGGACGATGACCACGACAAGATCAACAAGTATGAGCACTTGGGTAAGGCGATCATTCATATTCATTACATTGAGATTTGTTGGGTGTGATTATGAGCCCGGCTTACGACTCTGATTTCGGCGCTGAGAAAGATGGTCAACCGTTAAGCAACAGACGTGATTGCTTTACGACGCACCATACGAAATTTATGCTTTAGAAACGAGATAAGACTGGAAATGGAGATTTGCCATTAATTTCTATACAGTATCATTTTCTTGTTGGATATCAGTTTATTACACGCAGAACTTCGTATGAAGAAAATCAGATAGAATTGGATTGCTTGTTAATCTAGTGTGGTATAACGCCAAATACTGGGGAAGAAGAATATGTTACGCAAATCTCCATCTGTTAACTATATATATATATATATATATATATATATATATATATATATATATATATATATGTACTAACAAGATACTATTTATCAAGTATACAAGGCTTTTCAGATCTATCTATCTATCTATCTATTCTATCTATCTATCTATCTATCTATCTATCTATCTATCTAGTTAACAGATGAATATATATATATATATATATATATATATATATATATATATATATATATATATATATTTTGTTCGTCACTGTTTTGGTATAACTCTTCGGTTATATATTAGAAATTATGCACACACATACACACACACACACACACACACACACATATATATATATATATATATATATATATATATATATATACTAATAATATACTATTCATCAAGTACACCTGCCTTTTCAGATCTATCTATCTATCTATCTATCTATCTATCTATCTATCTATATATATAATATATATATATATATATATATATATATATATATATATATATATATATATATATATATATATATGTATATATATATATATATATATATATATATATATATATATATATATATATATATA